AGGCATTTGAGAAGGATGAAGACAATTATAAGGACTGTGAAGTTGGTTGGTTAATTACTACTAATGTACTGCAGGAAGAAAATGACAAGCTCAGGTTAGCCAGCATACTCAAGGAACACTGTGAAAGTTAGAAATATTCTATGGCAGCCTTTGAAGAGACCTTCAGAACCAGGGTTCTTTTGAGAAATGGTTGATTCTAAGACTGGGGCAGAGAATATACAAGATGAGCCTGGACCATCTTGTAGTAAATGAAAGTAGAGATATGCTAAAAAAAAAAAGGGATAGAAATGCATCAAAGGGACAGAGAAGTCAACTGAAAGAGCTTCCAGTTACCAAAGCTGGAACAGTTTGAGCAAAACAACTATGATAACAACAAACACATATTTGGATTACAGCCCAAAGCATAAAATATGAGTTCATACTGATGAGTTCATAAATAATTAAACAAGTAAATAGAAGAGACAAATTTTCTTTACAAAATTCTAGTTTATTTTGATATCCCTCTCTACAGGTAAAGCTTAATTTCCTTGAGGATGGGTAGATTCAATGTTCTGCTTCCTAAGTATAGAGTAAGGAAAGGGAAAAAAATTAACTTTAAAATGGAGGACCTTGGCAAGTGCTACACCTACCAAGTGCTGAAAGTTACCCTCAGCAGATATCATGTACATATCCTAAATACCCGCTATGATGATGTTATAAGGACATTTCACCTCTGTGGAATTCTTTCTAAAACCCTGTAAAACCCTCCTAAGCATGAGACAGCTATGATGCAAACCTAGATTCAGGGACAATATACAAGATATGTGGTCTGCACTTCTCGATTGTCAAGGACATGAAAAACAAGGAGACTAAGAAACTGTTACAAACCAGAGGAGACTTGGGAAACATGAGAACTAAATGGAATGTGGTACTCTGGTATGTAAAGAAGAGTTAATGTAGCAGGCCGGAGACTGCTATCCTTAGCAAGGCCTGGTTGCAAGGTCAGCTCTTGGCTGGCGTCTGGGAACTTAGATTTTAAGAGAGTTACTGTAATTCCCTGGTAAGAATAGCCGATGGTGCCTGAACTATTCGTACAAACAATGTAGTTTATGCTGAATATTTGCTTTTCTTGTGAGAGTCTGGAAATTGGGTGCATGTTAAGGAAGGGGTGCCTGAATGACCAGCCCCTGATAAAACCTTGGGCATTGAATCTACAAAAAGCTTCCCTGGTAGACATTTCACATGTGTTGTGACACCTCATTCCCTGAAGAATTAAGCATGTCCTATATGACTCCACTAAAAAAGACCTTGGGGAAGCTTGTGCCTCCAGATTTCACCCCCCTATGTCATTTCCCTTTGCTGATTTTGTTTTGTTTTCTTCTGTTGTAATAAATCATAGTCAGGAGGCTGACTATACGCTGAATTCTGTTGAATCCTAGCAGATCATTAAACCTGGGACTGGTTGTGGGGACTCCTGACATACCTGGACTGGGTCCTGGGGAAAAAAGACAACATGAATGTAAACATTGGTGAAACCCAAATAAAATCTGGAGTTTAGTTAATAACAAAGAATTGATGTTTGTTTCTTAGTTCTGATAAATGTACCATGGGAATATAAGATTTTAACAATGGGAGAAACAGGGTGAAGGGTAAATGAGAACTGTCGGTACTATCTTCAAATCTAAAATTATCCCAAAATAAAAAGTTTATTAAAAACACTCAAACTCAGTGCTTTGGAAACTCATGAAAAATAACATACCATTCATTCCAAAGAGAGAGAGAGAAATTACCCAAACTGAAACACAAAGAGAAGGATGAGAAAGCAATAAAGAGCAAAAGAGAATATACTTTATTTTCTGTAGCCAAAGGGGCATTGATTGTGGTTTAAAAAAAATAAAACAAAAAAACAAACAAACAAAAAACAGACTCAAGACCTGATTGTGAGAGTAGCAGAATTTAAAAGAAGGTTTAATTAATAACCCAATACATGTCTAATAAGTGAGGGCCCTGAAAGAGAAAGAATGAGACCAAATTCTAGAATGTAGGTATCTGGGTGGATCCTGCTGAGAACTTTGAGCTGTTAAGATTTACCTCAATCCTCTACACCAACAGAAGTGGTGCACTTGCCCTTGCTGTAGGACAGTGGCCTCCTTTTGTGTGAAGACCATGCGGAAATCTCACCTGACGAAGATGCCTTCCAAGGTGCTACTTTCTCAAGATTTGCCACAACTGCCTCCAGTGTTTCTAGACAAATAACTACGGTCACTTTTCATACTGGCAGAACTGAAAGAACATACCTGGGGATGGATCTTGGTGTAGGTTTGGGGAAGTGGTCTGAAGTAAGGATACCAGATTTGTTGAGTGTAAAACCCCAAACCAAGAAAACCCTAAAGGGACAAAATCTAATTAAATTTAAGAGGATTGTTTTCTGTTACCAGGAAGACCAAAGTTCAAGAGATTGTATGACAGAAAAATGAAAAAGTTGCATTCCTTTGCACACAAGAATTTGTGGACTGCCACAGACATACCTTTTAATTTTTCAATAACTTCATTAGATCAAGTGATAATCTTTGCATCCTCTTGTTTCTAACACAGGTCTGGCCCTTAGTGACTTAAAATTTTTTGTTAATGGGAGAAACTCACCAAGAGACTAAGTACACACACAGAAAGGGAGATACCTATAGATTTTTGAGCACACTTGCCATAAAGATGAGGAAGAACTAAAGGAGTTTCTTTAAAATGTGAACACTTTCCTAATCCTCAATCCTTTGCCCTTATCTTAATACAAGCTCCTGTACATGATTTCTTCCTGGCTTTCAAGTGAAGCAATAGCCTCCTAAACTGTTCTGCCTGGGTCTGCTTCTTTATACACATCATGCACTCTGACGTCAGATTAATATCTGGAAACTTTTAAGAAAACTATTCTACTGCTGAAAATCTTTGAGTGATTTAGCCTTCTTTGCTAAAGTTTTGTTAAAAAGTGGCTTGTTCTTAGGGCTCTTCCCAATCTGCTTTCTCTTATCTCTGTCTAACCTTGTTTTCCATTCCAACACTAAACCTTAATCCTAGACAAATCCAACCAGAAAGTCTCCAAACATATTGTGAACATCCTAGGTGCAATGTTTTTTTAAAATTTAATCTTGTTTTTTTCCCATTACCATTTAGCCCCTTTATAATCTCCCCCTCACCAATCACCATAGTTGTCTTTTTTTCCCCCTGCAAACCAGCTCCTTTCACCTGCAAATATTTATTTGTGCATATCTTTATAGTATAAAATGCAACCAACTTCCTGATCTATACCATGTGTGAAGATTCTGTACTCTGTATCAAATCTTTGTACCAGAGGCTGTAAAATGATTTTGTTTGATCCATTGTTAAAATGTTAAAGTAATTCTTAACATTTAAAAATCATTTTAAAATTGGAATCCCTAGTATGGCCCGCACTTCAACAAATAGCTAAAGTTTACTAGTAGCTATTAATCTTCAGATACACATTATTTGGTTAGATAGCCATGGCTACATTTGAAGTGTTTATTGAACACCCCATTACTTGCCAGACTCTGTTTTAGATGCAGGGGATACAGCAATAAACAAAACTGATCATGGAATTTATATTTGCAAGAGGGGAGAGCAAAAAATGTAGTAAGTAAATTATGTATTAGTAAGTGATAATGCTATGGAAAAATAAAGCAGGGTTTAGGAGATGGAGTATTTGGGTGAGAAGGGTGCTTGCACGTTTACATTCATCTAGATACCTAGCTGGATCCTATGGGAATCTGAGACCCCAACTATATAGTAGTTTACCCTTATCTGCGGTTTTGCTTTCCGTGGGTTCAATTATCCGTGGTCAACTGTGGTCTGAAAATATTAAATGAAACGTCCCAGAAAATAATTCGTTAAGTTTTAAATTGCAAGCCATTCTGCAAAGCATGACGGAATCTCCAACCATCCTGCTCCAGCCGGTTGGGACTTGAATCATGTCTTTGGCCAGCATATAGAAGCTGTGTGCGCTGACCCCCATTAGGCACTTGGCAGCCTCCTCCTCATTAGGTTGATCTGTGCTATCATAGTGCTTGTGTTCAACTAACCCTTATATTACTTACGAATGGACTCAAAGCCATTGCAATAACTTTCATTACAGTATATAATACCTTCTATTTTATTGTTAATGATCTGTTACTGTGCCTAATTTATAAATTAAACTTTACCACAGGTATGTATGTGTAGAAAGAAATCGGTAATATCCAAGGCTTCAGGAAGCCAATGGGAGTCTTGGACTGCATCCCCCTCCGATAAGGCGGGAATCAGGACCGTCATATACTGTCATCTATATGCTTTCGTCAGCAACTTAAAGGCAAGGAACGTGCCTCATTCCTCTTTGGACTCCCAGAGTACAGTGGTATTTTTAGGGTGCCAACACGATGGAAGCAAAACGTTAGGGGTCCCCAGAGTCAAAGTTAGAGTCATCACGGCATCCCAGAGTGGTTATTCAGGGGGGCTTTAAGCACTAGGTAGAGTGCAACACCATAAGCTACCCGAGAGAAGAGCCAAACCCCTTGTCCACTCTCAAAGCCACCTCTATGCTGAGGCTCCACCCATTTCTAGGCAACAGGGCCATGACAAGAATGTAACAGCGGGCCCACGGCCACTTGGAGGAACCCAGCCTGCCGCTTTGGAACCAATTATTTAGCCATTTGACCCCACAGTTCCGCACGCAAAACCCGGGACAACTGTGTACCCTACAATGCCGTCGCAGGCACCGTAGCTCCAGGCCTCTGGAGCTGCCCAGTTTTAGGCGCGACAACTTCCGGCCTCCGAAGGTCCCCCCACGCCTTAGCTTGCCGGGGTCCTACAGCAATGGAAAGGCGCCCGCGGCGAACGCCTGACCCATACGGGGCCTAGAACAGGGGCTGTTTCTTCCTCCCGGCAGGCAGCAGGGACAGGGGTGCTGAGGGGGTGCCCACGGCTGGCGGGACCTCGCTGCTGGGGCACAATCGAGGGCGGAGTGTAGATCCGGAGCTGGCGTGTCAGGCAGGATTGGGGCAGGTGCGGTGGCGGAAGTAGGTGGACTCCAAGGAAGCTGAGCCATCTAGGAAGGCGCGGCCGCGGGTCAGCTAACCTGGAGCAGCTGTGTCAGCCTGACCGCAGCGACTAGGGCTCGCCTGTCGGCGAAATGCCTCTGTTCGCTGTCAACCCCTTCGAACAAGACGTGGGTAAGTGCTGGTTCCCGGGCCGGGCTGCTGTTTGTGTCGCTGGAAAGTGGAGGTGGCAACTCCCAGAACTGGAATGCCAAAGCAAAGGAAGAGAGAAAGGGGGCGGCGCCGCTGCCTCGCCGGCTGGGAGGGTCACTTCGCCCTGGAGAGTGCTTTCTGCCCCCCGAGATTGGGGATCCCAAAAAAAGGCCATTCCCCTCAGGCTGGGGAAGAAGAACCTGGGGCTTGCTGGAGACTGGGCAAATAAAGCAGTTGGGAAGTTCACGGTATAAACTTTCTGCTCTCCCTAGAGCTGGTTAAGCAATCCCCGCCCTTTTAGGAGATGATGCAGAAGTGGAGACTCTGCTGTCTAGGGCAGCCCAGCACTAGAGACCTTGACTTGCCTCCATTCAGTAGGAGGAACCTATAGACAAATTTACTCAAGCCCTGATAGCATAGCTTCAAGATTTATTTACAGTGGTTGAAGGTGTTACTCTATATCCATGGATGGAGCAAGTGCTGTGAAATGTCTTGGGGTATGAAAACGAAAACCCGAGGGTGTCAAAACAGTCCAGAACAAATAATATTTATTTATTGGAGTTGTAAGAGCGCCTTTGTCTCAGTGACTATTAAGTGAGAAAAGGATGGACGAGATAAGAGAACTTGTTTTTTATTTTTTGTAGTAATAGTTTACAGAACCCTAGGTAGAGTTTTAGGTCTTCGTGGAATGAAAAAATGCATGGCTGAAAAGCACCAGAGGCAAACAGATACTTCACATTCACAGATAATTCACAGACAGTGTCACCTGTTTCATAGTTACAGTTTTCTAATTATAAGGAGACTAGAAAGGGCCCAATTTTGATATATTATGTGATTCCAAAAGCATGTTCAAAAGTTAAATATAATGTATAAGTCGCTTCCATTCCCAGAGAGCAGTCTTCAAATATATATTTCCATAATTTTGCTCAACTTCTTTTTCTTGGTAGCTTAATGCAAATGATTGGCATAAATCTAGGAAGCTTCTGCTTTTCAAACACCTAATGATGGTTTCCTTTATCGCAGCAAGACTTGTATTTTTTTATTGCTGGAGTGACTTTTCATTTTGACCTAGTAAAATAAAATAGAAAGGTAAAATAGAAAAGACAAATGCTTTTCAAATTTAAAACCTGTGGAACTTTTTCTTCAAGGAAAATCTTTACTGGAAGCCCATTGTTTTTTGGTTGAAAACTTGTATAAGTACCCTGAGTTACTCTTCCTGTTTAGCTTTTCTAAACCTTCAGTGGCTTCTGAGATACCTGCCTGGTTTAGTGGATCACAGGTTAGTACCAATGTAGTAAAAGAGGCAGTGCTGTTCAGACTTATAAATACTGCTGTGTGTAGATTATTTCATGGGCAATGTCATTAAACAAAGCTTCAAGTACTTATTTAACTCAAGTATGACTAAGTCAATATCCAACAGGCAGTTTAAAGGTGAAAGAATGAATTTGGTTGAGGTCCATGTGTACCTTCTTTTAGACAAGTGAATGAAATTAGTAGAAAAAGTGGAATGAAATACCCAGGAGTTTAAATTATCCTTTAGCCATTATCACAGAAGGAAAATTATATAGTGCATTTTTCATAACTTAAAGCTCCTTTTTAAAAAAAAGAATACTATTTTTTTTAGAGAGAGGGGAAGGGAGGGAGAAAGGAAGGGAAAGAAACATCAATGTGTGGTTGCCTCTGGTGTGCCTGCCCACAACCCAGGCATGTGCCCTGACTGGGAATTGAACTGGTGACCCTTTGGTTTGCAGGCTGGCACACAATTCACTGAGCCACACCAACCAGGGTTAAAGCTCCTTTTAGTTTGAAATAGTTAAGTCATGCAAGCAAGTCATTATTTAACTTGTGATGTCGCAAGAATGTACCTGTGCCACATCATTGTCTGTGTCACTTATTCTCTTTGATTCAGTCAGATTTTTACTGTTACCTTTTTCTCATATCTTTGTTCACCTTTCATTCAACAAATATGCATTGAATGATTATTGTGTGTCAGACATTGTATTAAGTTCCGGGGACACAAAAGTTCAATAAATGGACTGAATTCCTGCTCTCAGGGAACTCAGTCTAATGGAAGACACATACACACATAAAAAGGAAGTGGTCAAATATTGTGATGAGTATAGTACTAGAAATATATGACACACTTTATTTACATGTTCCTTTATTTAAAACAGGCATTGTCCCTGAAAAGAACTTCCAGGCAGACTCATTCTTTCTGTAAAGGTGTTGACACTCTCCCCCACTTTTTCTCCCCCACTTTTCAGACAGTACTTCTACGTGCAGGAAGTAACTTTACCTCTTATTATAGGTATGATATGGTCATTTTATAGTTAAGGAGCTTTAAAGATGAAACTACATTCCTTTGGTCCATATAGAGTCTCACCTGCGGGTGAGCCGTCTTCCTGACGTCATTTATTTCAGGAAGAAATTCTCTACTCAGATTCAGAGAAAAAGCTGTAGTAGGTCAAAATGCCTAAGAAGGTATTCATAAGTTGATGATGGTATATGACTTGTCAAATGGAAACAGGCCAAAGGCTAGGAAGTTCTTATTTTTTTCAGAGTCAGAACCGACAAACCCAGGTTGGTGTATGCTAGGAATGGAAGCATTAGAACTCTTTAAATTCAATAAACTCAATAAATTATTGGATTTATTTAAGTCTGGATTTATTTTTTGTTAAGTAAAACTCCTTTGAAGCTGCGCTGAGGAAGAAAGAAAAATACACATACCCCAGCATCTTAAAGGGGAATGTAGGGTTCCTGATGTGGAGCCTGGTTGGTGCAGTCTTCTTAGGCCATTCCAAGGCGAAAGTAAAACATGGGGGACAGAGCCACAGTAGGAAGATTTAGTGGTTAGTGTGAAAAGGAATGTCATTTCCTTATATTCTGTACCAATTTTTCTAGTTTTACTACATTGATTCCTCACTTAAAACCTGTCTGTTCTGCTCCCTAACTCCAGTTCTTATTTGCACATCTTATTTTCTCCTTACCTGGTCCAGGCAGTCTTTCTTGCCAGGTTCTGCCTCTGCCATTTAATATTCACTCATAGACTTTTTTTCCCCAGCAACCTTTTTATCTCCTTCCTTAAAGATATGTTTACCTGTGTCCCACAGAGCTGACCTCAAATTCTACCTCTGTAAAATTCTGGCACAGTGGATTGAAGTGTGAACTTTTATCTTAAAAAGAGACTTTCCAAGTGAAATTTGAATGTGTTGTATTGTGTCTTTGTCTTGTGTTCTGTTAGAATTTGACAATGAGGTAGCTTGGGACTTTTATTTCATTTTATTTATTTTACTTTATAAGAAACCTTAATATAAAAATAGGTTTTGATAGCACTTCAGTAATGAAGATTTATTTTACATGTTCAGATTTATAACATTTATGTACTAAAGTCAATTCTTGAACACAGTGAGGTTCTGTCCTATTCATTTGCCTCCCTTCTCAGATTTAAACACTCCAAAAAATGAAAAACTCTATTTTATCATACACCGTTGACCCTTGAACAACATGAGGGTTAGGAAAATTGACCCACGGCACAGTCAAAAATCCTTCTATGACTCACCCTAAACATAAGTACTAATACTCTACTGTTGACCAGAAGCTTGACTGATAACATAGTCAATTAACACATTTTTGTATATGTATTATATACTGTATTTTTACCCTAAAGTAAACTAGAGGGAAAAAGTGTTATTGAGAAAATCATAAGGAGCCGTGACTTCTATGGCTCAGTCATTTGGGCGTTGTCCTGCTAACTGAAAGGTCGTCAGATCCATTCCCGGTCAGGGCACATGCCTGGGTTGTGGGCCTGGTCTCTGGTTGGGGACATGCAAGAGGAACTGATTGATGTTCCTCTCCCTCTCTCTCTCCCTCCTTCCCTTCCCCTCTTTCTAAAAATAAATAAATAAAATCTTTAACCAAAAAAAAAATCATGAGAAAATACATTTACAGTACTGTAAAATGTTTATCAGTACTGTAAGATTATGTCATCTGTTTTAGGCTTTGTGGTTCATCTGCAAGTTCTTTCAAATTGCCAGTGGAAAAAAAAATCTTCATACAAGGGGACCCATGCAGTTCAAACCAATATTGTTCGAGGGTCAACTGAATGTACTCTACATACAAGTATACTACATAGTTTTGCATGTTCTTAAACTTCATAAAAAGTGTTTTGTTTGCATTTCACTTGCAACTTGTCATTCAGCATTTTTTGTGATAGTTTTAGCTCTCCTTCATTAATTTTAAGACCTATGTGGTATTACACTATATGAATATGCCGTATTTTTTATTGACTCCCCTGTTAATGGACATGAAATTTTTTCCAGTGTTTTGCTTCTGCAGACAGTATTGCAGTGAAAATTCTTATCCATGTTTTCTTGTTTGCATGACTGAGAGATTCTCCAAGGATTGTACCTTGAAGATTCCTTATTTCCTTTTTAATAACCTTAATTCCTTATTAAAAGTGTGGATAGTGCAAAGTTGCAAAATACTGATTTTTAGATAGCAGAATTACCCTTTTAAGTGTTTGTAGGAGATTTTAGTCCCACCAGCAGTAGAAGTCCCTGTTAATCGATGTTCTCGTTAACACTGGGCATTGTCAGAGTTTTAAATTATACCAGTGTGATGGGTGTGAAATAGGGCATTGTTTTCATTTTATTTCAACTTCATTGCTAATGAAGTTTAGCATCTTTTCATATATTTCTTGGTCATTCCATTTTCTTTTACTATAAATTGCCTCATTATTTTTACTTTGTAGGATTATTTTTTCTTGATTTTTGGTGTCCCGAATACGTTCTCTACCAATCTTTCATTGGTTATAAAAATTGCTAATATATATCTCAGTTGTTTGTTTCTTTTTACAAGTTTCTGATATCCTTTATTGATAAGAAAACAGTGGTGGGAAAATGGAAACAACTGTACTTGAACAATAAAATTTTTTTTGAAAATGAAATTAAAAAAGGAATTTGTTTTAATTTAGTGATATCATC